AGCACTGGATCCACTTCCTCCGCTCGTCGCGCTGGCCACCCACGTCGAACATGCTGTGGGGAGCCACGGGCGTCAGCTGGCGCTCCGTGCTCTCGGGTGTGTGGCCGCTCACCGTGGCCGTCCACACCGCCTGTCCCCGTGGCCTCGGTCTCTCCCAGCCCCATCCCTGCTGCCCACGTCCTCTCTGCTCTCCCCTGGGCCTCTGCTGTCACAGGCCGTGGGCTCTGACACTGTGCCGCTCCCTAAAGCCACGCCTGTGAGCTCCACGCAGGGATGAGGCACCTTAACCGGCTCCCTGAGGGACCTGAGGGCGTGAGAAGTGCTCAGTGGCACAAAGGACACTTGCATGGTCCCTGATGTAGAGTGGACCCCTGGCCAGGACAGAGTGGAAGTAGCCGGGTCCAGGGGCTGCACATCCTGAAGGCAGTGTTGTGCCGGGAGTGGATGCCACTGGGACAGGAGCTCAGAGCACACAGGAGGGTCTGCTCGGCCCTGGCAGCGTCCAGGGCTCCAAGGATGGGACCTGCAAAGGCACTGTGGTGAGAAGCTAGTGACCTTGGAGGATGCCAATACTGTCCAGCTGCGAGGGTAGGCAGCAGGTGCAGGGGAGAGGAGGGTGGTGGAGGGTGGAGGGCTACGGTGCAGGGGTGGCAAGGAGCCCACAGGGATGTGGGTGGTGTCAGGGAGACTTGCTGTCTGGCTGACTGAGCCCTGGATGGCTGGGTGGGGCCCTGCAGCCCAGCGTGGGGGCTGGGGCTGGACGAGCATGCATGTAAGAGGCTCTGTGCACGGACAAGGGGGAAACGAGACTAGCTAGCTGGGGGTCTGCAGGGGCGGCGGGAAGACCCCGAGGGCTGCAGGACCGCTGCCTGGGCCTCATGCTCCTGGCCCAGCCGAGCCCGGGTTCCTCTGGGCCTTCTCTCATTTGCCTGGCAAGGGAGGGGCCACAGTGATGGCCCCACAGGGCCCGCCCCGGCCCGCCGCACTCACTGGAAGTTCACTTTGTCCACCTGGAACCGCGTCTCGAAGATCCCCGAGGTCAGCACCCTGCACCGCAGCAGGTCCTGCAGGAGAGGCCAGCGGCCGGTAAGCAGGAAGCAGACGGGCAAATCCAGGGGGCTGAGAACTCAGGATCACTCTGGGCCTCCACCCGGGGACCCCCACATCCTTGCCTTTATCTCCCCTGAGACTTTTTACCAAGAAAGCTTTGAGCCCACCCTGCTGGCTGCCGTGTCCGAGGGAGGGGAGAAGGCTCTGAAGACCCTGTCCAGCCGCGGCCCCACAGGTGTGGGGGAGGAAGGGGCTCTGTGGTCGGGGCTCCCTGCCCTGTGACCCGGCCAGACAGACGGGGTGGTCCCAGGAGGACAAGAAAGCCCAGAGCCACACAGCTCACACCCAGTGTGCAGGGCGGGCGCCAGGTTATTTTCTTACCCAGGTGCACCCGGAACCTGCACGTTGACCCGGGAACCTGAGGTGACCCCACGTCTACACATCCAGGATAGTTTAGGACGCAGCCCGGGGTGAGAAGACCGGGACCTCAGGCTGCTCTCCAGCCGTGTAGGAGTCACTCAGGGGAGGCCAGATCCCTGGGCCCCCGCCACTGGGGCAGTGGGGGCCGCCTGAGGGGAGATGGCCCCTCCTAGGCTGCTTGGGCTCCCTCGCCTCTGTTCCCAACACACGGAGGGTCGCTTGGTTCCAGCTCAGGCCAGGGTGGCTCTGGGCCCTGCCCGGTGTGTCGGGTCAGCAAGAGGAGCGGCCTGAGAGGGGTCTGAGGCTCGGGGGCCGTGGGAGTCAGGCTGTCCAGTCGTGCGTGGAATTCCTCCCACACTGGCAGCCTGAGGCGCAAGGCGGGGAAGGGCCCCTAACTCACTCAGGAGCAGCCACAGCGGTCCCAGCGGCACGGGGCTTGCATACCTGGTCCGTGGGCGTGTAGTCCACCAGGCTCACGCTGTCGATTCTCTCCAGAAAGCTGCAAGACAGTGCGGTCAGGGTCAGCGGTTCTCGGGGCACCACCCCTGGGATGGGGCCACACGAACGGGACGCCCTAGAGGCCCAGCTGTGCCTTCCTCCCACCCATGGTGCCCGGCACAGCACACAGGATCGTCCTCCTCCACCTCCTCCAGTCCTCCGGGTGGGGGGACACCGGGCCCTTCCTCGGCTGGCACAGAGAGCACAGTGACAAGTAGGAAGGGGAAGGGGACGTGAGGCGGAGCGGGGGAAGAGGACGCAAAGGCGCGGCGGTGTGCTGCGTCCACGCCAGTTCCCCTCGAGAAATGGTCAGTGTGTGCTGCAAACACGGGCGACAGAGTCGGAAAGAGGGAAGAGCCGGAAGGGGGCAGGTGCCCCTGCAGGCCACGGAGTGCCAGAGAGAACCGCAGGTCAGCGTGCACAGCGGTGTGTCCGGGTGCCAGTGTGTGGGGAGGACGGTGTGTCTGTCCCAGCCTCCCTGCTGGGCAGGGGCAGGGACCCTGGGCGGCGGGTGACTGGCATGGTGGATGTCTCTGTGGTGGCCTTGGGCCTGGCGTTGTTCTCTCGGACACGAGACCCAGAGGGTAGCCTTGGGCCTGGTGGCTCCCATGTCCCCAGCACCCAGCCCATGGGGTGAGCAGGTGCCCAGCAGGGTCAGGCCCCGAAGAGACTGGTGAGCGGGGCCACTGACACCACCAGGAGCTGGACTCTGGAGGACCTAGCAAGTCTGCGTGACCCTTGCCCCTGGCCGGGTGATGGGCGGGGCTGAGCCAGGCCTACAGAGCGAAGGTGAGAGGACACCACGGCCCAGCCCTGCCTATCCCTGTTCCTGTCCCTGAGACATGGCCTGTCCCGGACCAGCGTGTACTCAAGCAACTGCAATTTCCAACCAGTGCCATACCGGGCCGTTTAATGATCAGCACGGCTGAAGCCACAGAACAACTGCTGACCTCCCCTGGCCACCTTAGCGACTTCCTTCCGAGATGCTCACGAGGCCCCATTGCCCAGGATGAGCCTGGAACAGTGGTGACCGCCTGGCACCTGCGTCCTAGCACACCAGGGCAGTCACAGGTGAGGGGTGCACAGGCTGCAGGGGGTGGGGGTGGCTGGCAGAGGCGAGAGTGGCCCTGTGACCTCCACAGTCAGCAGGGAGCTCCCTTGGTGGGATTCCAGCGGGGGCCGGCTCTGCAGAGGATCTGCAGCTGCCCTGGCCTGGAGACATAAGAGTCAGGGAGCCTCCAGGCAGACTGCAGCATCTGGCTCAGGGGACAGGGCCATCCAGACGCCAGCCGGCCCTGACCTGCTGGAAGCCTCTTTAAACAAACACTGCCAACCATGGCAGCTGCTACAGCAGCCCAGAGGCTGGAAGGAGTGGGTCCCGCCTGGCCCGAGGCCTGCTTTGAACTGGACAGTGCAGTCTTGGCCTAGGGTTTGGTGGCCTTGAAGGTGGGGGACGCCAGGGAGGACACCTGAGCTCCAGACTGCCCTGGGCCTGGGGTGGAGTGGCAGGAAGGTGCTCAGACCCAGCCGGACACCCAGGCTCCAGGGGTGAGGAGTATGCCGTACTCCTGATGACCGCATTGGGACCCACTGTGCTCTGGCAGGGACTTGCAGTGCTCAGCCATGCGGACTCAGAAACCGGTCAGCTCTGAGCAGGAGTGGCCGTGAGGAACTGAAAATGAAATCCGGGGCCTGCTGCTGTTGTGTTTAGGAAGCAGCCAACTTGAAACGGGAGGCACAGGGTGGACAGAGCATCCGGAGGGTAAGAAGCAGCTAAGTGGACAGAGTGAGATATGGACATGAGAAGCGCGCTGATTCCAGAGCAGCGGGAGCCTCCAGAACGGATCTGAGATGCGGACACAAGGCACAGGGAGGGGCGGCATCTTCCTGCCCTCTCCTCCAGGTGGGTTTCCAAAGTTCCTTCTAGCCCTGGCACTGGGCGATGCCCGAGCCAGCTGCAGAGCCTCCTGAGGGCCCGGGGTGTAGCTCAGTGGCGCCTGCCTGCCTGGCAAGCACAAAGTCCTGAGTTCGATCCCTGGTAACAGGAAAAACAAAACAAAACAAAACAACTTCCTTGAAGACTGCAACCACGGAGATGGGTTCCACGGGGTCTTGGAATCACACAGGGAATTCCAGAGTGACTGACGCCAAAAGGGCCGCAACACTGTCTCCCTATGAAGCTGTGCTGAGCTAAGTAGAACCGTGAGGCAAATCTAGGAAGTCCCCTTGTGAACACCCGCGGAAAACGACCCGCGCGTGCAGAATGACATCAGTCAGTGCCGGACAGTCGCTGGAGCCTGCGCACTGGAGGGACGCACAGCAATCTCCACTGCTTCTGGCCAAACGGAGGAGCTCATGTTTGCAGAAAGGTTTATTGTTGGTACCGGGGAGGGTACCTGGGTCCTTGCACTTGCCAGGCAGGCAGCAGCACCGCAGAGCCAAATCCCTGGCCCTGCAGAAATGCTTTTATCTCATCAGTTAGATCCCTCTGTTTGACATCGGCAAAATGCAAACAACAACAACAGACACTCCCCCAAAGCCCCACAAAAATAAAATAACATTGCAAGCACAAGGTCCTGAGTTTGATCCCCAGTACCAAACAAACACACAAAAAACCGCGCCAAATCGCCACTGTTCACGTCCCATCTGTGGTCTGCTCTCACACTGAAATAACCCGAGGCTGCAGGACATGAATCGGGGACAGGGACCATCGGGAAAAGGCGAACACGGCTGCACCACTGCTGTGTCATTACACTACGGGATGTGAGAAAGCACCGAGTGAATGCAATTGCAATGCATTTTAAATCGTTTTGTGAAAAAAATACAATAAGTTGAAACTATCGAGGTGAAGTCAAACCTGTTCTGTGTTCCTGACACTAACTCAGGGTTTTTCCTCCCAGGGTACTAAGATATCAGGGACAGCTACTGGTCACGTGGAAGCAAAGCCCCGCAGCATGGGGCCTCCGCAGGCCGCTGCTCTGGGTGTGCAGCTGTCTCCTGGGAACACCACCGGGTACTGTGCTCCTCTCCACCCGGGTGACCGTTCCCAGGCGTCTGTGTCCCCGCTTCCCGTAGGCAGCTGCACACCTGCTATCCTGGCTTCTCACCGAGACCCACTTTTCTCTTGGAAACCTGAGACTACCTGCTCGGAGATGCCAGTTCCAGCTGCTACAGACACAAGGGTCCCTTCCGCTAGGCATTTATGGGGTCGACTGCATGGTGTACTGCCTTATATTAAGGTTTTGGCCCTTCTTAAAAGTTGAGGTGCAAAACACATAAAGAATGTAAACTGCACTAATATGTTTCCCTTTCTTTCTTTGTTTTGTTTGGACAGGGTTTTGATCAGTTGCCCAAGCTGGCCTTAACCTTGGGATCCTCCTGCCCCAGCCTCCTGAGTACCTGGGACTACAGGTTTGTGCCACCACGCCAGCTTGCACTGATCTCCAGTGTTCATCCTGAGGACATTTTTACACCGTGTCCATTTTTATTTTCCTGTTCATGTCCCAGCTACTTCACTGTACCAAATGACACTGAAGAGCAGCAGTATGGTTTTTTAAGCCCCTAGAAAGAAGCTTTACAGAGTCGGTGCCTGGTCTGTTTTGCTTTGTATTTCACTGTGTCCTCACTGTTTGAGGGCTTCTCTGTCTCCACACCTTTCTGGGAAGAGGGGCGGCGCACAAATCGCGGGAGGCAGGACCTGGACAAACAGCGGCGCAGGAGGGAGCACTGTCTGGGGAGCATCGCAGAGGCCCGAGTTACCTGCGATGCAGCCAGGGGCCCCTCTGCAAGCTGCCAGCCCAGGCCCAGAGTGCAGGCTGTGGCAAACTTGCCGGCTTCCCTGTGGACCTGATGTAGAAAATGAAATTGGGAAACTAGGCAGGCTTTTTACTAATTCCGGGCAATTAACTAAACCCACAATCACAGAGGCCTGTTCGCTAGTTGCACTGCTGGGGCCCAGGCCGTGGACCCTGGATTGTGGCTGCGCAAAGGTTCCAGGGGGCGATGTGGGTGCTGCAGCAGGAGCGCCTCCCTGCTGGGCCCTGGTTCACTGACCTGGACTCTACCTCCAGGATAAGGTCTCAGACAGGTGCTGGGTTGGACCCCAGGGCCTCGCACGCTAGGCCAGCGCTCTGCACCTGGCCAGTCCCCAAGCCCCGTGCTTATCGGGGTGTCTTTTCTCAGCAGCCTCGACCGTGTCCTGTCCTCTCCTGGCCTATATTTCACAGCCCTGCACGCCCCCCCTTCAGGAGGAACAGATTTAGAGTTCTCTGACAGTGCACATTTGGGATTTTGCACTAAATTCTGAGTACAGGGGCCAGAGCCCGCCATACGGATTGCGCCCAAAGCACGCCGTGAGCAGTGCACGCTGCAGTGTTAAACCCCTCGATCGCTCACTGTAAGGAGCAAATCTGACTGAAGCTCCGTGACTCACAGAAGCAGCTCCTGAGCACCGCCGAAGTGCGCAGGTTAACATGAGCTCCCCGCTGAACCACGGCCCCAGAGACGGCCTGTGAGGCTGTGGGCCGATACCAGACAACGTCCTGGCTGAGGTCGAGGAATCGCACCCAGACTCCTCCCCGCTATTAGTGCCTTGTAGCTTGAAGGACAGTGCCCCATTACAGCCATATATTTTGTCTCTCACTTCTAATTTGAAAACACTTTGATTTCAAAGCCTTGCCTTTACCCTGATTGATGAATAATAAAATTTGGTGGGAGAGACCCATACTTTCTCTTTTAATTCTTAAGTTTTTCTTCACCTTGCACATCACACACTGGGCAGGTGAGTACTAGAGACTCACAGCAAGAGTCTCTGGCATAGAGGACAAGAGTTTGTGTGTCAGTCTACTCTGTTCTCTTGCCAGTAATTCTGAACCCAGGTTAGAAACTGCATTTGAAGGCAGAAAAATAAAAGAAGGCTGAAAGTAGTATCAGTAGTTGCATGAAGATTACCCATTGTCCTGGTATGCTTGGGTTAACTGTTCTGTAACTTAGATCTGTCTCCAGTCTAGGGAAGTTTCAAAAGAAGCTGAATCTTGTTGCCATGGAGAAATAACTATAGTAATGGAGTAATAGGCAAGGCTCCTAGGAATATGCAAGAAAATGCTATGCTAGCTGAACAAGAATTCTGGTGCTAAGACTGAGAACATGTGTGGGAAATCAGCATGCTTTCTGAACCAAATCTATCTGTGATAACTCCTTTCTTAAAGAGCTTTTTAATTGTTTTTTGAGGGGGAATGTTGAGATCAAATCCAGGACCTTAAAAATGTTAAGCATGTCTTCTTCCCCTAAACTACATACCAGCCCTTAAACACCCTAAGTGCGATCCATACTCAGATGCAATTAACATGCAGCTTACAATGATTTATTTAATAATTTCTGTATTTTCATTTCAACATTACATCAACTCCAAAAAGAAGGAAATAATCCATGGGCCTGTAGTGCTTTGATATTTGATTCATAAAAATGTACATTTATATAGTATGAAAAGAACATTTTAAGAAAGTTCAAGCATATACAAGCATTGCTTCAACTCACAAAATAGATTTTGATGGGAATATATGCACTATAAAAGGGTCTTCATTTATCAAAGGAGTCAGTGACACTAAGCTATTTTGTTGGCTGTGATGAAGTTTTCCAGCCCAAGCGGCCTAAGACACAGGATGCACCTACACAGCTGTCTGCGCATGTGGGGGAGGCCACGTGGCTGCCTGCCACAGGGCCCACCAGAGGTGCTGAGCGGCCTCGACCGCACATACCTGCAAGCTCTTCCCTTCACTCATTCACACTGGAAAACAAGTTACAGGGATGAACACGTGGATATGACACTTCCAAGGAACTTGGAAGAGAACCGATTACTTTTTCAAACACTGGGATTCTTACTGAGAAGTCTGCCAGTCAAGGAAGGAGACTAAGAAAGCTGTAAGTACGTAACTTAGCTTAACGTGCTCACCAAGCAAAAAGCCAACTGCTGCTCCCCATGTTTTGTGGCCATGAGGAAAGGGGTGGCCACAGCTTGACATCAGCATCTGGAGACATGCACGGCCATGGGGGTGGCAGGGGGTACAGATGCAGTACAGCTGCGCCTTGTCTGTCTTTGCTTCCAATCCCAACTCTCCTTCCTCCCAGCTGCAAGCTGGCTGGATGCAGATTCAAGTGCAGGATTTGCATGGCTAAAACATTCCAACTCATGTTATAGTTTTGAAATTTCTAAAGCACTGCTGCTTTAAGACAAAACAATGAATGCAAATAATTAGAACTTAAAATGCAGTTCTAATTTTATTTGTTTTTGATTGGTAAAATCAAAACAAAACCTAAGAACACACAGTCCCAGGGTTTCCCCAAAACAATCAACAATTCTTTGGCAATGTTAGGTGTATAATACAAATGCCATGCTAATTAACATACTTCATCAGGAGCCTAAAGCGTAGACATAGGAAAATAGCTAGAAATTGCCCAATGTTAAACCTTCTAAGACTTTTTAAAAACTCTTAAATAGAAAATATAAATGAACACATTTAAATTTTTCTTGTAATAAATGAAGTTATGTGGCTTTTCAGTTACACAACTATCACATGAAAAACTCAGAGAATGTAAACAGCGAGTATTAGTGAAAAATTTCATAAGGTAATTGTAGTAAAAGGAGAATGAATCAGTAGTTAATTGCAGTGTAGCTTGATGGCAAAAACAAAGAAAAATAGAGGAAAACAAAGGCTATACAGAGACAGCACCGTCCACTGAGCAAGCTGCAGGTGTTTACAGCATGAAACCAAACTAAATAGCCAATTCTCTTCTTTAATTTTTATGTACCACCTGTCATCTCGTGTATCAGCAATCATACTAAAACAAAACAAAACCAAAAAAACCCTTCACTCTGATAATTTTAAATGTGAAACTGAGTATGTGGGAACTATAACTCAGAATTTTCAAGACCCAGAAACACCAATTCAACTAGTTCTGTTAGAAGGCAGGTATAAAAATACACATCATCACAAGCGATACAGAACTTTAAGATCCAGTTAAGGGAAAAGGAATTCTCTGCTGTAAACCCAAAGGCAGGCGGAAGGGCGTCTCAGTCTCCAGCACATTCCAGGGCACGTATCGCTCAGAGCGCATCTGCGCAGCACACCTGGGCCCGTCCCGCCTCACACCTGGTCCCGCAGGCGAGCCAGTCTCTGGGACAGCTCGTCCTGCTCGGCCGAAGCTACGCTGGTGCCCACGGAGCCGGTCTGGCCCTGCGGCAGCTCCATGTTGAGGTCGAGGCCCGCCTCGTCGGCCATCTCCTGGAGCAGCAGGTCCACCTGGTTCTGGGGAGTGGTCAGGGTGGTCGTGCTGCTCATTGTGTCTTCCATCTGCTGCGTCTGGACGTCCAGCGTTTCGAACTGGTGCTCAAACTTGTCCATCAGGGCGGAGATCTTCTCCAGGTTCATGGTCTTCAGCGTCGCGTCCATCGACTTGACCACGCCGGCCATGGACTTGGTCACCTTGCCCATGGTCACCGCCGTCTGCACTCGGGCGGCCACCGCATCGACACGCGCGCTCATTCTCAGGAAGTTGACGCCCTGGTTCTTCTGGCGGATGGCGTTTTCGGCGTGTATCCGCGCCACTTCCATGTTGCCCTTCTGAATGGCCTTTTTGATTTTGGCCTTTTCGGCCTTTTCCTCTTTGTCGCATTTTTTGGCACTCCTGCTCAGTTCTTTGGCCGCGAACTTCAGGTTGAACAGGTGTTTCTCCATGGTGGACATAATGGGACGGCTGGGGGACTCGCCGACCTGGCCGGGCGCGCGCCTAGAGGAGACGAAGGAAGGTAGGTCTACCCCGGTCGCCGCTCCTTTGTTTTGGTCCCACTTCCTGCTTCCGCGGCTAGCGGCGCAGGCGGTGACGTCAAACCGGCGCCGGGGCGGGGCCTGCATGACCGACAGCGCTGGGCCCGCCCACCGGCCCCTAGACTCCCTTGCCCCTGCGCAGACGCTGCCCCGCGGATCTCGGGAGCTGTTCGAGCTGGGTTCGCCGTTTTAAGGGCGATTACATCATTAGCTAATGCACAAGACCGGGGTGCACGGGCGCCTCCTTAGGGATACATCTACTCGCGCAGGCAGGATATGTACAGACCTGCATGTAAACTACTCATGGTTCAAACTACGGACCTTCGCCCTGTGCTGCAGCTCCAGCCTTTTTACTTTTTATTCCGAAGCTTTAGCCTTCAAACTTGACTGTGAGTAAAGTTCCTTAGATATAATATGAAACATCAAAAAGGTGTCTCTCTGTCTCTGAGTCCCTCAGGCTGGGCTTGAACTTGCAATCTTCCTGTCTCGGCCTCCCAAAGTCCCCTGCTTTTCGGTTTTTTGTAAGTGTGACTGGCCAGGGTGCTAAATACTAGCTGGATCTGTGGCCGATGCTGAGTTTCTTTACGTGGGTAATTTCCACCTTCTCAGGGACCCCAAACTATGCATTAAACAAAATAAAGCCCCACAGCAGTCACTGGCCAGGGCGCTGGGCTGCCTGACTGTGCTGATGCGTGGTGAAAATGCCTTCAACCCCAGACTCAGCAGAGGCCGAGCTCGTCAGCAGGTGCCAGCAGCCACGCCCACACCTGTCCTGGGCATCTGACAGAAGCTCGGCTTTTCCTGATGCGGTTCTGCCTTCTGAGTTCTATAAATATCTGAGGAACTTCACTCACAGTCAAGCTTGACAGCCTGAGCTGTCGTTTCCAATTATGCAGAAAGAGAACAGAGGGGCCAGGACCCACACACTGCGTTGTCACAATTGGCAGGGAGAGTTAAGCCCTTGGAAATAAATGCCGGCTCCCAGTGGCGGTGACCACGCTGCGGCCTTCACTCAGGAAGATTCCGGCCACTGCTGGAAGGAGGTGGAAGAAGGCCGGCCACTGGTGAGAGAGGTGTGCATTCCCGAGGTCAGCGGAGGTTGTCACAGGCGCTGACCACACCTCTGGCTCCGATGCCAGCATTCCAGCCCGACGGGAACAGCTCTCACGACGTCTGCATGTCACTCCCCGCTCCTCTGCTGTCCGCACTGTCAGAGTGGACGGAGGCCTGGACGCTGCCCTTCACTCAGCCTCTGGGCGGCCCATGGGATCCTGCTGCCTCCGGGAGCCTACCAGGACCCTCAGCTGCCACGCGCTCTGCATTCTGCACAGCGAAGGGCACCAGCCTGGCCACACCCGTCACAGCACAGCCCCTGGACACACGTCCCCTCCCCACAGGAGCTGTGGGGTGCCTGGCAAAGCTCCCTGTCGGCGGCTGCAGGGTGGGTCAGGACGTTACCCTCACCACAGCTGAGCCAAGCCCAGGTCAGAGCTTTTCCAAACGGACCTTTCTTAGGAACATAACATATGACTGCATAGCAGGGAAGACAACTGTGTGATGATGGGACGGGGCTCCTGCTCGGCCCACCCTGCTACTGTGGGGCCCTGGCTTTTCTCACAGTGGGCCAGGGCCTTGTGTGTACCACACAAGCGCTCCCACAGCCAGCTTCCTCCCGCCCTCCACTCATAGCGTTGACGACTGGATCTAGGAGCACTGAGCTGTACACCCAGCCCTTTTTATGTTTTAAATTTTCAGACAAGGTCTTTCTAAGTTTCCCAGGCTGGCCTCAAATTTGTGATCATCCTGCCTTGGTCACCTGAGGAGCGGGGTTGCAGGTGTGCACCACCACACCCAGCCCAAAGCGTTTTACAACAAATTCTAACTCGCTGTGACGGGTGGAGCGTCATCACAAGACGCTCTTTCAGACGGCAGTGTTAATGACACCACATGCCACACCGTGCTGGGCCCTCTCCCTCTGTCCTCACCAGGCCTCTGAGGTGGACGGTGTTAGCGTCCTCAGGTGTGGGTGTAGGAGGGGATGCACACAGAGCTGTGACCTGCGGCGCCCACACATCTGCGGAAGGGTCAAGAACTGGATCCCGCCGATGTGCCCGGGACCAGTAATAAGTGGTGGGATGGCCAGCGCGGATGAGTGTGCAAGAGGAAGGGGAAGACCGCCTTGGCAGTTGTGCCCGTGAGACGTCGGAGCACGCTCGGACTGCCAAGGCGGTGTCCAGTCATGTGTGAAGAAGGGCCTCCGAGGGATGCTGGGGCTGGGTGGGGAGCAGCCGGGAGTCCTGATTCCCGAGGCAGGACAGACGGACACGAGGTAGCACCCAGGCCCCGGCTCCTCTTGTCAGCGGGCCCAGCCTTGCTAGTGGTGTTCAACAGAGCACGTGAGCAGCTCTGATGCTCACAAAGCAGGTGTTTATCCCGCTGTTGCCTGGCACCGGACAGCTTGGGCGGGACCGCTGGGCAGCTCCCAGTGCCAGCTCAGATCTGCTCACTCTGCTGGCCAACAGCGGCGCCGTCCAGCTTGCCGCTCAGAATCCCGCACCGTGTCCTCCTCCATCTCCGTTTTCAACATCGCCCACCACAGCCCTGGGGCCCTAATGGACCGGACTGCGTTCTCTTTGGTGTGTGTCTGGCACAGGGAGGTTACGAGGGATTATCATCAAAGGGGACTTTGGCCCCACAATTCTGATCACGTGTGAGAACCTCCTGGACATGATGCAGGTGTGAAAAAAGGACACAGCCTGTGAATCCTCAACAGCATCGCCACCGTACAGAACCAGAGTGAGGCACAGAATCCTTTCTTAGTAAGCAGAAAGAACATTTGGTTCCTTTGCAAACATTTCTAGGGAGCTGTGAGTCCAACCAGTTAATTATTTTAATCATAAAATGGTGAAGAAAAAGACACGACAATTTGGCTTATCTGACCTATTTTCTCTTTTCTGGGAACCAGTTCAAGTGATTGACTTGAGATACTGAAGCAGCACACATGGTTTGATTTCATCATTTGCTAGATCTAAAGATACCGAAAAGACAAAAGGTACAAAAGGCAGCTTTTCTGTGTGTGTTAAAATATTCAGGATTCAGGCCGGGGTTAGCTCAGCGGCAGACCATCTGGGTAGCATGTGAGGCCCTGGGTTTGACCAATGGTCCTCCTCCCCACAGAGAGGTCCCTGGGTTCTCCAGGCATGTTTCTAGTTTGACCTGCACACTGCGAGTCTGTCTGCTCCATGGCGGCTGCCCCTGGCCTGGCCTGGCGACCTGGAACCTGGCCCTGGTCAACGGCTGGAGACAACAGGCGCTCCCGGTCATTTCTGCAGACCGTGAAGGTCCTAATTTGGCCAGAGGCAACCTCCCTGCATAGGCACACACTCGGTGAGCATTTCGAGGAACAAGCGACATACATGGATGCATGTGTCATGCCCAACACACACGTGCATTCACATGTTGCACATGCACACATATGGAGAGTTTTTCTCTGTAACACCACATCCTCCTCCCCCTTCTTCCTTTTTGTAGTACTAGGCATTGAACCTAGGGCCTTTTCATTAATTTTCATTCCTCAACCCCCTTTATTTTGAGACAGGGTCTTGTTAGGTCCCTGGGATGTCCAGGTTGGGCTTGAATCTGTAATCCTCCTGCCTCAGCCTCCCAGAGCCTGGCATCGCAAAGAGCAAACACAGTCTGCCTTCTGCATCCTGGCTTCCATGTCCTTGGATCCACTCTACTACAGACTGCAAACACCCGTGTTAGGAAGGAATGGCTGCACACCAAAGTCACCAGCCGGTCCCTCTTGTCCTTCTTTCCCTGAGCAGCACAGCGCCACACCCAGGTACACAGCATGGCTACGTGACAGCCTCAGGCATCCAGGATTGTGTTGGTTCTGGGAACACGGAGCCCTGCCCTAGACTCTGGCTGTCCCCACGGGGGCCTGGAGCCTGGCCGGACACAGGGGGACAGCTGTGTGCAGATGCATGCAGCTTTCCCACGTTCTGAGAAGGAGAAAGCAGCCTTCGGTGCCTGTTCAGACCATGTGGAGTTTCTGGCTGAAGAAATGGGAGCTGTCATTAAGCCGTTCAGCTGAGGATAAGTCAGTTTCCTTTTTTGGGCAAAATGCTCAGCTGTCTTGTCTGTCTTAGGAGATAAATTCAGTCACTGTGTATATCTTAGCAGAATATCCAGCAAAACAGTTTCCTTCTTAGCAAGCCTGCCTCAGGTGGTCAGATGAGAGCCTTTGGCTCTTCAGGAAAATTAGGCGGGACCCTGCGTTTCTATGAAGATAAACAGCAGGAAGCCAGGGCGCCCCCTGGCGCCGGGCGGCCGTACTGGCGTGTAGACTGCTTAGGTCCAGGGCAGCGGCAGGAAGCTTCCCTTTCCCAGCAGCTGAGCGCTGACCAGACGCCCGGCGGCCGCAGGATGAGAGCCGTGCACCTCGGTTAACTGTCCCGTGACCGGGCGCCGGCAGGCAAGGCTTCCCTCTCCTCTTTCCCGGGCCTCCTTTGATATGAAACAGAGAGCGGCTTCCTGACAGGCGAGCTCAGCTTTATCAGCTCCGACTCCTTCCTCCGGTCCTGGGGGAAGTGCTCCAGTCTGGCCCCCTTCCGAGGCTGCGGGAGCCGCAGGCCAGAGTGGCAGCCTCCGTCTTCCGGTGTTTTGTGCAGGGCAGGGGACCCAGGGCCGAGCCCGCCCCTACCACTGAGCTGTGCCCCAGCCCTGAGGACCTTTTGTCCACCCGTTCACCAGCTAACGCTGGGGCTGTTCCCACTCCTCTTTAGTGTGCGGGTCTATTATTATGGTTAATGTTATTGTTGCCTTTTGTGACAGGGTCTCACGATGTAGCCCAGCCTGGTCTTGAGCTCGCAGTGATCCTCCTGTCTCAGCCTCCTGAATGCTGGGGTTACAGGTGTGAGCCATTGCGCCCGGCTGTTGTGATTACCATCGCGCAGTGCGAGCGCACACACCGCCGGTCACGGTGCACCCCCGCCCCCCGTGCATTCACACGTAGAAGCGTAGAAGTGTCCACTCTGCTTCTACTCTGGCCACGTGAAAGACACTGTTGAGGTCTGGACCTTCCGCCAGCTGAGCTTTGGAGATGCTGGTTTTGTTCTCATGAGGATGGTGG